GCTGAAGCAAGGGTGGTTGAATGTTTACTTGTGGGAGAGGGCACACTGTAAAAAAAATAAATAAATAGCACCCAAATCCAGAGAGAACTGGGACTTTGTGTGTTTGTGTGTGTGTGTGTGTATACATCCATTCATCCATACATACAGTACATATGTGTGCCTTTTGAGGTTTAATACAGTCACTTTTTTTGGTATTTCCTTGCTTCCAAAGGATTTGATCTCATGGAACTCCAAGAACTATGCCAAATAAGAAGTTGGAGTTGCACAATTTTTCCTTCCTTCTATTACAATAACATCTACCTTATTAAGTTAGGTGGTAGTCAAGTGAATTCACTTGAATTCACTGTCTGATTACCTTGCCATATATTTCTCTACTTTCCCTCTTCACCATACTTTTGGAAAAAGGAGGGAAGAATATAATGGTAAAGTGAATACAATTATTAAAAAAGGGAAACATACTCCTTCAATTTAAAGAAGAGTTTTCAAAAATATTTGAAAATGTTTTGTTTTGGAATTTCATCTGTCCTAACCTTAATCCAAGATCATTTGTAATATTAATTTTACCAATAATTATTTCTCATCAGACCTACTGCAGGTCCTTGCAAATTCTTAGTTCAGATTCAGAAAAGAATCTCTCCTTCCCCTGGCAGCCATCTATGTGGGGAAGAAAAGGAAGCCATGATAGATACATCTATCTGTGTAGTTGCTAATTGTCAACACCAATTTGATGGCACATAGTCAATTCTGGGAGTTGAAGTCCACACATCTTAAAGTTGCCAAGGTTGAGAAGCACTGCCTTAGCAGAAAGAATTTCTGTGCTTTTCTAAAGGCTACCATGTGGCCTTTGACAGACTGCTCCTAATGGAATGTGGTCCTCAACTTTCTCATTTTCTCTCACCCTAATTTATATCAGAGGTGAAACATTTTTTATTTCCATACAATTCACTTTTCTGGGGACATCTCATCAACTTCAGTCCAGGTATGAATTCATGGGATTACTGTACAAAGATCTTCAGTTACCTGAACTTTAATCTGGCTAAGTGAGTAGACCAATGGTTATTAATTAAATGAGCAAAAAATAGAGATAGCTTCGTGCCTTCAAGCACAGCTTCAGGATGGAATT